ATATATATATATATATATATATATAATATATATATATATTATATATATATGAAAGGGGTTCCTACAGCTATCGCTCCCTTCTCTCAACCATTTTCGCCATTCTTCTTTGTCCTCCCATTCTCCGTCTTTCAATCCTCTCCTTTCCATGGCTTCATCTACCTCATCTCTGAAAGATCTTCTTGGTCTGCCTCTTTTGCGTTTTCCTATGGGGCTCCACTCTGTTATTTTTGCTATCCATCGGTTTGGGTCTGTTCGTCTGACATTATTTGCGTTATTTTATATAAAATCTGACGTTATTTTTTTTTCAATGTAATTTAAGGTGTCTTTTCTTTATCTCCATTCGTCTTTTGATTTCGTCGTTAGTTATTTTGTCCATTGTGGAAACTCTGCAGCTTCTTCTCCAGTAGTCCATTTCTGTGGCGTTTATTTTGTTTCTGCTGCTTTTGTTTAAGACCCAATTTTCTGCTCCATATGTTAGAATGCTGCGAATCATCGTGTATTATTTTTTTGTTATGTATCTGTCTCATAGGATTGGATTCAGTTGTCTTATAGAGTTTCTGGTTTGACCCATTCGATTTTTAATTTCTTCTTCTGTAGTACCTTTATTTGATAAAGTATTTTAAATATGTATATTGTGTTGTGTAAGCTGTTTATATATCATCCATCCATAAAAAAGGAAATAAACTGGACTGTAACAACTATCGAGGCATATCAATCACGAGTACACTGAGCAGACTATACAGTAGAATACTGCGAGATCTAATTGAAGAAGACTATAAAGAGAAAGAAGAAGAAGATCAAAGCGGCTTTAGAGCAGGTAGATCGTGTACCGACAACGTATTTTGTCTAAAACAAGTCATAGAGAAGAGATCTGCTAGACATCTGGAAACCCATCTTACATTTGTGGACCTACAAAAAGCATATGATACAGTCCCAGTATCGAGACTGTGGAAGGTATTAGAACAAACGAACATCAATCACAACTATATAGCTGCACTTAAAGAACTGTATGAAAATTCACAATCAAGAATTAAGATAGGTAAAAAACTCACAGATGCCTTCATAGTGAATAAGGGACTACGTCAGGGATGTCCTATCTCTCCTACACTATTCAAAATATATGTAGCAGCGGCACTTAAGAACTGGAAAAGGAAAATACACGGAATGGGTATAGAGATAGATGACAGATACCTGTTTACTCTTCAGTTTGCAGATGATCAGGTCATAGTGGCCAATGACAAAGACGACATGCAATATATGATTAGAAAGCTGATAGAACAGTATGAGGAATGGGGCTTGATAGATAACGTAAATTAAACGTAACTGGAGCGGAAATATGGAAAGGAATGGGGAATGACCATATAAAACAACGAATGGAATAGAAGGTACGATAATTCAGGATATCGAAAAGAAACAACTTACCTGGTACGGACACGTAGAGCGAATGCAAAATACTAGATGGCCCAAAAAAATACTGAACTGGACCCCAATAGGGAATAGAAAGCGAGGAAGACCCAAACTAGAGTGGCAGCAAAACATAAAAAAGTCAATGAGCGAACGGAATCTATCAACGGAAGATTGCCACGATAGAAGAGGATGGAAGTTAGGTGTCGGACAACGGAGAAGGACGTTCTAAACCGGCATATAATATATATATATATATATATATAATATATATATATATATATATATATATATATATATATTGTCTTGTGTGTGTTAATTAGATTCTGTATTGTCCCAGATACATTTTTTATCATCTGCCTTAGAATTTTGATCTTCACCAAAAACTTAAATTTCGGAGTTCTACTTTTGTGTTTGTGTCCTATATAATAGTTCCTATATACCTTGGATAACTTCTTCTTCTTCTTCTCGTGCCACTCCTAGCGGAGATTGGAAATCATCATGGCCACTGCGACTTTGTTAGCAGCGCGCCTGAAAAGTTCAATCGAACTACACCCGAACCATTCACGTAGATTACGAAGCCACGATATTTTTCTTCTTCCCACACTTCTTTTGCCCTTAATTTTGCCCTGCATGATGTTTCTTAAAAGTTCGTACTTTTCACCTCTCACAATGTGCCCCAAGTATTCCATCTTTCTAGTTTTTATCTCATTTAGAATTTCGCATCTTTTGTCTAAAGTTTGGAGTACTTGCGTGTTAGTGACGCGGTCCATCCATGATATTCTGAGAATGCGCCTATAGCACCACATCTCGAAAGCTTCGATGTTTTTTATGGTCAACTGTTTTAGTGTCCAAGCCTCAACTCCATATAACAGGGTAGAAAAGACATAACACCGCAGCATTCGTATTCGTAACTTTATATTGATATCACGATTGCAAAAGAGTTTGCGCATTCTATTAAAGACTGATCTAGCGATTTCTATTCTACATCTAATCTCTTTTGTTTGATCAGTATCGTCTGTGATCCAAGCACCTAGATATTTATAACAGGGCACACGCTCAATCGTTGTATTGTCTATTACAAGATTAGCTCTGATGTTCTTTGATTTCGTGATTACCATAAATTTAGTTTTTTTCAAATTAATTTTCAAGCCGTAACTGTTACAGTATATATTGAGACTTTGAACGAGATGTTGTAGTTCTACTAGCGTTCCCGTTAGGAGAACTGTATCGTCAGCATACCTTATATTGTTGATCGTCTCACCATTTATTATCAGACCAAGATCTTCTTCCTCGAGTGCTTGTTCACAGATAGCTTCACTATACAGATTAAATAAAAGTGGCGATAAGATACATCCCTGCCGGACTCCTCGACGGATTTGAATTTCTTCTGTTAGTCTGCCCTCAACCTTGACATTTGCTTGGATAACTTGCACAGCCCTATTACAGTACTGTTTTTCTCTCAATACTCTTTTTTTGGGAGGTGAGAATCTTCAAAAGGCCTCTTTGAAGGTTGTCCCAGCCTATTACAGTACTGTTTTCTCTCAATACTCTTTTTTTTGGGAGGTGAGAATCTTCAAAATGCCTCTTTGAAGGTGTCCCAGGTGTGTTGGATTCGGACGACTACGCCTCACCGCAGTTGACCGCCTACCAACTAAACTCATCCCCTCTTTCTCCAACCGACGGGCCTGGGAGTCCTGGGACCGCTCTTAGCGAGCATTACCATCTGACCCATCAGAATTACTCATAACTCCCATCAGGCGCATCCCAGTCGCGCCACCCCACCCACGTCTGTACCAGACTTGGTTTGTAAGGTAACCATCCTTGTGCAGAGCGATAGGCAGAAGAAGCGACCGCGCCGTTATTTCAACCATCTTGAACTTAACGAGAAAGATCAGACAACAGGTACAAGCAACTCCAGACATTCATATTTCACCCCCGGTAGTGGTCCATTCATCCCTCCATCTACACCAGCCCATTACTTAGTAATAGGCTGCTCCAACATGAGACACACACCGTACACTAGATACAAGTAGAAAAAAACAACACGCATGTAAATTGATTTCTGTAATGTATTCAAGTTCAAGAGTTAAAATAAACAGTTCACCTTTGTTGCATTCTTCTTTTTCTCTTCCTTGTGTTTTATGGTTCTGTTACAAAACCAATGATCAAGTCAAAAATTCTTTTATTTGTAATTGCTTTATTCATTAGTTCATGTGGCTCACCTAGAAGTGACCCCAGACCCAGCTGCAGCAAGGTTCGTCCCACATTGTATGAAGGGTATACGAATACCACATGATGTTTATATGTTTACACTCATACTACCTTATTACATCTGGGATAAGGGCCCTCGTCCAGGCAGCCTTGTATGTTTCTCTTGACCATTGGTCCTGCCAGATATCCAAACTCCGTTTTCTTTCTTGTGTTCCTGAACCTAAAGCTCCGTTGCCCCTTTGGTGATTCCGATCCCTTTCATTAGCCGGGATATGCACCAGCACAGCACCGGTCACTACTTGTAAGGCAGTGGTTGATACGGTCCTGTACGCTCTGCATACCCTGATCAATGGGTTTCTCTGTTTTCTAAGAAGACTATTTAGCTTTGTTGAGGATCTCATGCCACACTGGGACCCCATATAGTAAGATCGACATGATTGATTGTAGGATAACTGATCTTTTCTGTGACCCGGGCTTCCTATATTCGGCATTATCTTATTGAGGGTCGAGGTCCTCTCTTCCGTCTTATGACATGCCTCTTGTATGTGGTGTCTGAATGCCTTTGTCGTCTAGTATGATTCCCAAGTATTTTACGGTCTTCTGGGGTCTTAAGTCGGAGCCTCTGAATCGAAAATTTACGTTTTTTCTTTCTCGTGGTTCCCTCAAAATGATAACTTCTGTCTTTTCTACTGCAAGTTTTCGGTCATTTTTCTCTATCCATCTCGCTGTTTTTTCTATTGTTTCATTTATTTGGTTTATAATTCCCCAATTCATATCTTCTATAAGTAGGGCTAAATGCTCTATCTAGGGCTAAATGTAGGGCTCTCTGGTATAAATAAATAGAATTTTTAAACTAATTAATGGATCAATTAAAAATTTTGAGGGTTTGTTAAGCAACATAAACCCAACTTTAGGCACAATAAAAAATATCTAGGTTGATTTTTTACAATAATTAGAAACAATTAACGATGTTTACTTATTTTCCAGTTTTAGAAGCAACAAATTAATTTGACAACTTTTAGCAATCGCTATTTTAAAGCTTTTTTATGTTTTAAACGATGAGATTTTTAATGGTAAACGAAAAATCGAAAAAATGTCATTTTTTACACTAAATTGTTAATAATTAAGAAAAGACACCGAAATCTCTGCAGGAAACGTATAGATTTTCTTTATATAGGCATATAAAAAAATTTTAGGTTGCTGAATTTGTCACAGTACCGAACGAGGTATTTTTTATTTCCCTAAAGTATATCTTTCTCTATCGCTTAGCCCTCTCTCTCATTCTATCTCTCCCACCCTCTTACTCTCTCACTATACAAGTTGATAGTTAGTTTTTAATAAGTTAACTTTATATATCTATAAGTTATGTCTTTCTTTTGTAGGAAGAAAATAAGACTTTTCGCATGCTTCTAAATGAATGCACAAGGCGGCTCAAGTTACTATCGAAAAAATTAGGCAACTGTATAGAAAAATCTAGACCTTATTATGAACTCTTAGAGGTTGCAAAAAAGGCTCAACAAGAATGTCAAGAAGCAGCTCTGTTGTACAAGAAGGCACACGGTAATTTTAAAATTTTTATAAAGTTTATTACCTTAATACATCATACCGATTTCGATGTCGCATTCCTTGATAGAATTTTCGTTCAATATTTTTAGTGCTATGTACACTAGTTTACTATATTTACTATATAGGTTTATAACTGGCATATATTTAATTGTCATTGTCTAAAGCCAATTACATACATAATAAAAGTTTACTAACAAAAAAAAATAAATTTGTGATTTTAGATTTCTTCAGAATTCTTCAGTATTTATTAAAATAAGTAAAAATATTTAGTATGGTCTTCACTATTTAATATAACTTTACATCTTTGATTCATATTATTATATACCTATCATTAACCAGTAACCACTCTATTTAGCTCAAATAGTTACTATTTGCTCCATCTTTTCGTACACCTATTTACATTTTAAGACGCTATACAGCCGTATTAGAAGCATATACCTTTTTCATTTTTCTTTGGGTTACTTTTAGTTTTTTTTTATTGATTTTTGAAGGAGGCTTTCAGAGGAAAGTACATATAAGTCATAGCGAAGAGAATGCGGGAGTCCTTTTGATTTTTTTTTGTTGAATGAAACGACTTTTACAGACTGATTATAGCGTTATTCCCAAATTTACGATGTATTCTTCGTCTGATATTAAGGCTCTTACAGGGACCTTTTTGAGTTTTTGACCTAAATATACGGTTTTTATAACTATCTCTAGGTATATTTTCTTCCTTTGCTTGTATTTCCCTTACATCTTCGTGATTTTCCTTTTTGATCTTTTTATTTTTCATATGTTCACTTTTAGGCCTGCTTTCTGCTTAATAAGTTGATTTATGTTGTTTGATAGCATAAATTTTTTATATATAATTTGTGGATATTTATTCATATAAAGTCATTTAGTCATATAAAGTGTATGTTCATGCCATCTCTATTGTCTTATTACATGAGTGTGTCTTGTCTAAATGCTATGTATTCTGGTGTTTAAAATTCGTCTAGAGAATATTCTATTCGATTCTGGTGTTATAGTGACATTGTAACGAGATTATCACTGATCGTCAAAATGTCTTGAATGTGGATGACCTTAGGCTCAGAAATCTTTAGATTTTCAATGGAATAACGTTTATTAATTCCCAAGCCTGAAGATTCAAAAGAAAGATGCAGCGCCCATGAAACAAATGTTTTAAATTAACGGTTAAAAACTAGTTTCATCTGCAATCGGTTTTACAACCAGTTTACAACCTAAAATAAAACCTGTCTCCGCCCACGGAGCAACTGGTTTTTGATCAGTTGATTTATAATAGAGTGTTAAATGTGGCAAAATGTACTCCTATAAGAAAGACCATTTAAAAAAAAGTTTTTAAAATAGTTATTCGGTTTATGTGAAACAAAAAAGCAATGCTTTGTTCACAAATATATTTCTCTGCTACCATTAGACATGTGAACAATGACATCATGTTGAGATTTTTCGTTAAATTTCCAATTTGAAAAAGTTATTCATTATTCTGAATAATCAATAGGTTAATATTTTTTGTAATAGCCTCTTCATTTTTACTTATCTCCAACTGACAATTGTAATGTCTACTTCTTCTTCTTTAAGTTCCATCTTCTATCGAAGGTTGGAAATCATCATGGCTATGCGGACTCTGTTGACTGCCGCTCTAAAAAGTTCTGCACTACTGCATTCAAACCATTCCCTTAAGTTCTTAAGCCAGGATATTCTTCGTCTTCCCACATTTCGCTTTCCTCGGATTTTGCCCTGCATAATAAGTTGTAATAATGCGTATTTTTGCCCTCTCATCACATGTCCCAAGTACTCAAGTTTTCGTCTTTTAATAGTTAATATTATTTCCGCCTCATTTCCTATCCTTCTAGTTACTTCCATGTTTGACATTCTTTGAATCCATGATATTCGTAGGATTCTTCTGTAACACCAAAATTCAAAGGCGGCCAGCTTATTCAGATGAACTTGTTTTAGTGTCCAAGCTTCCAGACCATAAAGAAGAGTAGAGAACACGTAACATCGAAGCATTCTCAGGCGTAGTTCTAACCTTATATCCCGACAACAAAGAAACTTTTTAAGTTTAATAAATGATGTACGTGCTATTTCAATACGTGTCTTAATTTCTTTGGTTTGGTCTACATCTGATGTTATCCATGTTCCTAAGTATTTATAGTTATTAACACTCTCAATTGCAGTATCTTCAATAGTCAATTGGATATTTGCATGTGCAGATTTAGTCATGATCATGCATTTAGTTTTCTTTAAATTTATCTTCAGTCCGTACTCATGACAGCGTCTCATTAAGGCGTTGCATTACGTTCTGTAAATCATTGTTGTTATCCGTAATTATTACTGTATCGTCTGCATTTGGTTTGGTCTACATCTGATGTTATAGTCTACATTAACGTTAATGTCTATACAAAATTAAAATAAAATTTTAAAATCAAATTCTGTATACTTTATAATAATCTAAACTAGATTTTTTGACCGGTCTTTAATTTCTGTATAATCTGTAATCCGTATTTATATTCTAAAACGTTTACAAATGTCGGTAATAAGGGGCTACAAAAAACTGCATCGCAACTGCGACCATGGTCAAACAAGCTCGTTTTTAAAGTGATTGGAAAACAGTTTCAATTGGATCGCCTCGTGGGTGAATCCCCATGCTCTTTACGCTGCCGAGATCGTTAAACAATTGGGAGCGCAATTAGTTTCAGACTGTAGTTTTAAAACAATTGCTCCTTAGGCGCTGGACCTAAATTGACGTAGTTCTAGGTTCCGAGTCGTAAAGGAGTAGGTACATACCAACAATTAGCTTCTTCTTCGTGCGACTAGGATTACTCCTGTTTGTCTGCCTCTTATTCTGTTTCAGTCGTTGTTGACTGTACATTATCTTTCCACCTTTTTGGCGGCCTTCCAACGGGTCTTCTGCTATACGGCTTGTTGTTTTTACAGATGTTCGCTAATCTATCTGGTCCCATTCGGTTTACATGTTCGTTCCAGTTTTTTTTCTTGTTTTTATCCACCTGTTAATATTTTGAATTTTGCATTGTTCGCGTATACTTCTGTTGGTTTGTCTGTCTCTTAATGATATGCCCGCTATTGATCTTAATACTTTCATTTCGATATTGTTGATTTGTTGTTTCGTCTTTCTTGTATCGGTCCTTGTCTCCGCTGCATATGTTAGGATTGGTCTTACTGTTGTCTTGTATACTTTCATTTTGCTTTCCGTGGTCAGATATTTGTTTCTCCATATGGTTTCTCGGAGGCAACCACTTACTCTTGCCGCTTTTGATGCTTGCCTTGTGGTCTCTGTTCTTATATCCCTGTCACTAGTGATCTCTACTCCTAGGTAATTGAATTTCATTACTTGTTCTACAATTTTGCCGTCTATTTCTAGTTTGCATCTACGCGGCTCTTTACTGATCACTATACATTTAGTTTTTTCTACTGATATTCTCATATTAAGTTTGTTTGCTGTGATATTGAAGGTGTGGAGCTGCCTTTGTAGGTCATCTTCGTTATCAGCAATTAGTACTGCATCATCGGCATAGCATAGTATCGTGATTTTATGCGCTCCCATGTGGTATCCGTGTCGTTTTCTTACTTCGTGAATTATTTGATTCATCACTACTACTGCTAAGGATTTCCACAGTTTTCACTGTCTTTCTTACTCAACCGTTTTCTCCAGTTTTCCCTGTCATTCCAGTCTCCATCTCGCAGGGTTCTTTTCTCCATAGCCTCGTCGATTTCGTCTCTGAATGACCTTCGGGGTCTTCCTCTCTTTCTTCTTCCGATCGGGCTCCATTCTGTGATTTTGTTTATCCAGCGTCCTCTGTCCGCTCTTCTGACGTGGCCGTACCAGGATAGTCTCTTCTCCTCTATATAGTCGATTATGTCTGATTGCACTCCCATTCTCCGCTTAATCTCTGCGTTTTCAATTCTGTCTCTTTTTGTAAGTCTACAGCTTCTCCTCAGGAACTCCATTTCTACTGCTCTTATTCTACCTCTATTTCTCTTGTTTATTGTCCAGTTTTCGGACCCATATGTCAGGATACTTCTTGTCAGGGTATTATATATTCTCTTTTTTGTCTTTATCGTAATGTTCTTATCCCACAGCACTGAATTTAGTTGTCTTATACAGTTTCTTGTTTGTCTTAGTCTGTTGTTTATATCTTCTTCTGTTGTTCCCTGGTTCGATATTATGGTTCCTAAATACTTGAATTTATCTGTTCCATTTACTTGTCTTCCCTCGTCTATCTCTAGGTTTCTCATATCCTTGTTTTCTGTTGTTAGGTATTCGGTTTTCTCTAAGTTTATTTCCATTCCGTTGTTTTTATATTCTTCTTCTAGTTTTCTGAGCATAAAGCTGAGATCTTCTTCATCTTGTGCGATGACTACTTGATCGTCGGCAAAACTTAAGGTGTATAGGTATTCGTCTCTTACTGGTATGCCCATTCCTTCGCACTTTCTCCTCCATGGTTTGAGTGTCTTTTCCAAGAATATTTTAAACAGAGTAGGGGACGTAGCACAGCCTTGTAGAAGTCCTTTTGTCGTCTTAAATGGATTGTAGGCTTTATTTCCACATTTAATAGCTACTTTGTTTTCTTTGTACAGTGCTTTAACTGCTTTTATTAGTGTTTGTCGGATTCCGAGATCATTCATTGCTTCCCATAATTTGACTCTAGGTATTGAGTCGTATGCTTTCTTTAGATCAACAAACGCCAGATGGACCGGTCTACCTTTTGCCATTTTCTTCTCTATCAGTTGTTCTAATGTGTACGTATGATCTAGGCATGATTTTCCTACTGTGAACCCTGCTTGGTCTTCTCCAATTTTTCCTATTATTTCAGTTTCTAGTTTTTCCTTGATAATTTTCCCGTAAAGTCTACCTACCGACGATATTATACTAATTCCTCTGTAGTTTTCACATTTTTTCCTGTTTCCTTTCTTATGTATGGATGTGATGTATGCTTGTGTCCATTCCGCAGGTATTTCCTCTCCATTTAGTC